AGGGAGATCTTGACTTCCTGTATTATAGACTTCATCTCTAGCAGTTCCATTTGAGTCTTTTGTAAAGTGTGTGATTCCTCTTTTAGATCTTGCAAGAATTTCCTCATCTCCTGGAACTCACCAACTTCTTTCTCCTTTCTCTTTAGCAGTTCATTATCTCTCTTCTCTTCCATCTCTGTTAGCTTCGACATTATGAATGATCTAAATTCCTTATCAGACATTTACATGATTTTTACCGAACTGCTTGTGGACGAAGAAGAGTTACTCTTTTCCCTTGGAGGAGAGGTATTTTCTCGTTTTCCCATATTTCTCGTGATCCGGCAGTAATTTCTTGTCATCTGATGGATGATGTGTTTCTTTCAAATTCTTGAAGTTCAGCCTTAATGTTCAGGAACAAGCAGACAGAGGTGATCTAGAATCTCTTTGCCGTTCTGTTGTGATTGCTGGTGCAGAAGATTCAGTAGATAGTGGGGAATATTTTAACCCTATTAGTATTTGGATGTTTAGCTATGGTGCTCTAAGATCCGTCGCTAGCTCGTTTGTTGGAGGCTGAATTATCAATAGGAAATCTTCATTCCCTGAAAAATCTAGTTCGCTGGAGCCACGTGGAACCTTCTTCTGAAGGCCCGGCTTCTTCTGCCACTAGCTCGTTTGTTGGAGGCTGAATTATCAGTAGGAAATCTTCATTCCCTGAAAAATCTAGTTCACTAGAGCCATGTGGAATCTTCTTCTCTCGATGTTACTGTAAATCTTATACTTGGCTTTAAATGAGATGGGGAAAAGGAGCTAGCATTTGAATGCTTTTTAAGTGCCCAGGTATTGATATATGTTATCTTATTTATATCTTTAGAACAACCCCAGGAAGTTCTATTGCTTGTTTACAAATGAGAAACTATTTTAAGTAACTGCCTCAAATATTTAATAAATGGTATAGGTAGGAGTCAAATGCTTTTCTATTTGACTTTAAAAGCTAAAATATTTGCTTTAGAATAAGGTGTTCTTTGGGGGTCTATTGACCAGTTGACTGATAGAGTATGTAAGAATGATATGCTTTCTGAGCGAGGTTCCTGACCAATTCAAAGAGGAGACAAAGATATAAAAAAAATGGGGAAGAATAATCTGATTTTATTTTTGGGAATTTGTTATTTTCAATTTGATGGATTATATAAACTGTTTTACTAGGTCTTTCCTGGTTTCTTGATCTTATTCCTCAGCACTTTATAAGGTAGGAGGCCCTGTATCTACTATTGTGCTCTTGTTTTCTCTCTCCTTCTCTTTTTTCCCTAACATTTAATGTATTTTAAAATTTTATTTATTACTACTACTACTATTATTTTTAAATTTGCTATAGGGCAGCACAGAGAGAGAGAAAGGGAAAGTGAGAAGGCAAGCCACCAGGTCTAAGACTTGAACCATGGTTGGGCATGTGGGAGTCTGGTGCCTTAACCACCACATCACCTGCTGGCCCTGTCACCCTTTTCTTGCAGGAGTAAGGCAGGATGCTGCCTCTGGAAATTGGCGTATGATCATGGGTGGTAGTAAGTGGCAAGTGAGCTTTGTGTTCTCTGAGATCTTTAGATGCACAGAAAAGGTCTGCATGTATTTAAACAGAAGGCCACTACTTAGGGTGTGTGGTGCTTCTTTGCTTTAACTATAGTGCAGGGGACAAAAATCTTCCATCAGGTAACTGTGGGAATTCTAGGAGAATATCATGAAATCAGCCCTAACCCAATACAACTGGATTAGACATATTCCATAACTGTATAGGATGCACATAGGCTAGAAGCAAGGTTAAGCATGTCAGCATTTTTGTTCATTTCCTCAAGTGACAATAGAAATTACTATTTTCTCTAAAGTGATAGTCATTTTTATGTTATTTTTATTAAAATGCTTCTGTAAAGTAAAATCAAACCTTTTAAAAATATGCAATGATATCCCTTTAACTATCAGATTTTGGCTTTAATGTTTAGCAACTTAATAAGCATGTGAAATGGCTGTGATAAATAAGACATGAATCTAAATGAGGCAGGTCCAACTATTCTTTTCTTTAGACTTGCTTATTAATTATAATATCAATACATATTTTAAATTTACAGATAAAAATGGAAAAGGCCGCTAAACAGAAAGGAAAAGCTCCATTGCCATCAACTACAAAACATTCATGAACGCTACCAGAGAAATTTAAACCATCATTCAAGTATATCTTTTTCATGTTTATTTAAATATAATGATACAGTTCATTAATATTTTCTTCAAGTATTTACTTTTTTTTACTATGTAAATATGTCTTTTTGGATATGTCCTTAATTTAAATAAGTGAAACTACTGTACATTACTTTTGTAAGAATGCATGACTTACAACTTTGTATATAGTTTTTCTCTGTCCTAAAAATGAGATTATTTTCAGATGAAGAACTGAAGATACAGGAAGTATTTTTAATTTATCATAATTTAAGTTTTTCAGGATATTTAAAAAAATTAAAGATTTTATCAAAGGTTTTGAAGAATACATAAAGGGCCAACTTTTTGATTAAAAATAGTAAGTTACAATTATTTTTATTTTTCAAACTTTTTGTTGCATTATTAAATAAAAGATTTAAAAAAATTATACAACCTGTTTCAAGTGATATCTACTGATTTTTAAGTTGTACTTCTAACTATCTAGTGTGTGTAACTGTGGCACTTAAATTCCTTTTGGCCCCACTCTTATTTTGGTACTTCTAGGCAGGCTTCTGACAGCTTCATGTGGAAGCCACTTCCCTGGCATCTTGTCTTGGGTCCATTCATGGGTCTTTTGTTTTTTTCTGCAGGGTTCCTCTGATGCCATAAGATACACACTGGAACCTCTCTGCATCACACACATGCAGCCTAAAGATATGGGGAAGCTAATGACCTAGAAACCTCCCTTGACTAATGGGTAGTGGAAGCTAATATTATACTCCCCTTTCCATCTGCTGGCAAGACAATTGTGAGATCCATTACATAGGCTTCCTTAGAAAATCTTGTGGAACAGAGCACCAGTCATCCATAGCAGTGGCCAACTCAGTAATACATCCTCCTGTTAGCGTTCTCTTTTTCCCTTTACCACTCCACCATCCCTCTGATTCCTTCAGATCACTTCCCAAAGGAATTACATGTACGTGAGCCTTTACTTTAGGCCTTGTTTTTTTGGGAGAAGAAGAGTATGTGCCGGCAAACTCAGGCTAAGATGGTTAACTGGAACAGCCTTAGAAAGCAAACATTTAAGATGTGTGTGTACATTGACAAATTGATTCCTCTAATCTCATGGAATTGTAAAGCTAAAACAACTTTGGAAAAGAACATTATTGGGTGACTTGCAGTACCTATCTCCAAGACTTATAGGCCAGCAGATGGCGTAATGGTTAGGTCACTGGACTCCTTCATGGCCGACCACAGTTTAAGTTCCTGACCTGGTGGCTTGAAACTCACTATAGGTGCATGTGCATGTGTGCCCAAGATCCTGGGAGGAGAATGGAGGAGAAGGGATTGTGGTGTGGCCATATCCCCTTGTGGGTGATTTCTTTCTTTCCCTCTAATTGTCTCTGTCTCTCTCTCTCTGGTGAACACATGTGCCCTAAGACAAAAACCTCTTAAAAAAAGAAAAAAAAAAGACTTACTATTAAGCTATAGTAATCAAGACAGTGTGCTATTAGTCTAAAGGAAGTAATAGATCAAATGTAACGGAACAGAAAATATAGAAATAGACTTGCACATATATGGTCAGTTGACCTTTGACAATGGTACAAAGACAATTCAATAGAGAAATGATAGTGTTTTCAACAAATGGTACTGGAAAAAATGGGATATCATTTGCATAAAAGTGAACTTTAATGTTTCACATGTTATTAAAAAATTAACTGAAAAAGGGTTGTAGATCTAAATGTAAAGCCCAAATATGTAAAACATCGAGAGGAAAATATAGAAGAAAAATTTTTGTGAGCTGGGTTAGTCAGAGATTTCTTAGATATAACACAAAAGCATAATCTTTAAGACAAGACTGATAAATACTGGACTTAATCAAAATAAAGAACTGAAAAATTTTGAACTATAAAACAAAAAAATTTGAACTATTTTATTAGAGTAGAAAGATAGCCATTGACTGGGAGAAAATATTTGCAAATTTGAAGGATTTTAAAAAGATTTATTTATTTATTTTTTAATTACTTATTTAATTTTATTTATAATTATTATTTTTTAATTTGACCAGAGAGTGAGAGAGAGAGAGAGAGAGAGAGGGAAAGTGAGAAAGCAAGCAGTCAGGTCAGGTCTGGGACTTGAACTGCAGTCGGCCATGTGGGAGTCTAGCACCTTAACCACCACACCACCTTCTGGCCTCAGATTTTTTTTTTTTCCTTCTATAGAGCACATGCACTCACAGGAAAGAGACACAGGGAGAGGGAAAGTGAAAATCACTCCCAGGAGTGATTGCTGAGCTGCCATCCCTTCTCTTTCATTCTCCTCTTAGAATTTTGGGCATGCATGCACACGTACCCAGTGTGATTTGCAAGCCGCTGGGTCTAGGACTCAAACCAGGCAGTTGGCCATATGGGATCCAATGTCTTAATCTCCATGCCACTACCTGGCCCAAATGTGAAGAAATTTTATATGTATATATAAAGAACTTTTAAAACTTACTAAAAATTCTTTTCTATCTGGCAGCAGCCATCAGGTAAGCCATGATGGGTGTGAACAAGTACATTCAGGAGCTACAAAGGAAGAAGCAGTCTGATATGAAGTGCTTTCTTCTGGGGGTCTGCTCCTGGCAGTACCATCAGCTCTCTGTGCAGCATGGGAGGGCCCCTTGCCCCATCTAGCTGGATAAAGTAAAAGACTGGGATATAAGGCTAAGCGGGGTTATGTCATATATAAGGATCATGTGCATTGTGAAGGCCAGTTCTGAAGGGTACAACCTATGGCAAGCCTGGCCACCATGGTGTTAACCAGCTAAAGTTTGCTAGAAGCCTCCAGTCTATTGCAGGGGAGTGAACTGGATGCCACTGTGGGGCTCTTAGAGTCCTGAATTGTTACTGGGTTGAAGAAGATTCCACATACAAATTCTTTGAGGTTATCCTCATTGATCCATTCCACAAAGTTGTCAGAAGAAACCCTGACATTCAGTGGATTACCAAACCAGTCCACAAGTGCAGGGAGATGTGTGCGCTAACATCTGCAGTGACAAGAGCCATGACCTTAGAAAGGGCCCCATGTTCCACTGCCCTATTGGCAGTTTTCACTGTGCAACTTGGAGAAGGTACAACACTCTTCAACTCCACTGTTACCGCTACCATAAGTAATGGTTGTAAAATTCATACCTAATAAGTAATTTAGGACAGTGGGGGAAAAAAGCAATTCAGAAAACAAACCAGTTAAAAAATGGAAAAAAAAAAAAAAACCAAACAAACCCAAAACTGGTTACTTCACATAATAAATACATGGATAGAAAATAAACACAAGATGATGCTCAACATTTTAAGTCAATAGAGAAATAAATGCAAGTTAGAACTACAAGGAGATAGCACTATATATAAAAGTCTAAATCTAAAAACGTGCTATATCAAGTGATGGTGAGGATGTGGAGTAATTAGAACTCTTGCTTTGGATGGGAATATATCATAGAATAGCACAATTCTTTTATAAAGCAATGTGGCAGTTCTTCACACAAACAGTTCCATTCTACTCCTAGGTATTAACCTAAGAAAAATTAAAGTATATGTCCATACAAAGATTTGTACCTGATAGAAACTTTGAAACACTCTCAAACTGGAAACAATCCAAATAGCTATCAAAAGGTAGATACACTGTATTATACTCAAGTGGTGGAACCCTACTCAGCAATAAAAAGCAACATACTATTTTAAGTGAATCTGAAAATAAAGCTTCACCACCATACCTTTTTAAAGCAGCTTTTGTAAGAAGTCAGATAAAATGTACATATTGTATGATGTCAATAATATCAAATTCTGGAAAATGCAAGTTAATGTATAGTGAGAGAAAGCAGAAAGGTAGGTGGGGGGAAGCCAGGTATTATATAATAAATGGGCATGAGAAGACTTGGGTCAGTATGGAAATTTTTATCTAGATTTTGAGGATGATTTCATCTTTGCTCTTAACTGTGCACTTTTGATATCTGTAATTTATTGTACATTAATTATACCTCTATCAAGCTGTTAAACATAAAATGGAGACCATTTTCAACATTTGTGCCAGGTTTGCCCCATAGTTCACTCTCTGCATGTAACTGGACAGCTAAGCCACACGAACTTTCCCCCTTTAATGTGGAAAAAACGCTACAACCTAAGAGAAACATGGATGCTAAGATTGAGTTGAGAAATGCTTGCAAAGCTACAAATCTAAAAAACACTCCTTTCATTTACCACAATAATTTTTTGCTTCCTGTCATGTAAAAAGAATGTTGGGATTCTTCTAATTTGGGTGGTTTAAAGTTTAAAAACACATGGACAAATTAGGGAAGCCCACGAAATCCCACGTCACAGTCTTAAGTTGTTTACAACCTCGTTAAAGGAACTGACCCATATATGCCGACAGCGATATACCCGCTGCGTGCAGCCTCAGTGAGATGGTTAGGACTGGCAGGCTCAAAGGGACGAGAACCAGCCCTTCCCAGCATGCCTTGCTGCAGGCCTGGGCCTCGCCGCTCATGTGACTCAGCTGTACGCTCCCTCCAAACCCTGACGATTACCCCAGGGCCTAAGGCGCAAGCGCAGTATGGGCTCCTGGCGTACGAAGCATGCGCGGTAAGTCTCTGCAAGTGCGTCGTCGAGCTAGCCGAGGGCGAGGTTCGTGACGCGCGAAAGGCCCAAGGCCCATCATGTGGGGCCGTGATAATCTTTCAGCAGCGTCTGTGGCAGGAGGCGTGAGGTCAGTAGTAGTCTTTACGGTAGGGGCAATGGTGACCACTTCAAGGATCATGCTTTAGTCACTGGTTGCGTTTTAGTGCTCCAAGCCTTGAGGGAAGGCCAATTTCAGGCCTTCCTTTGCCGTCAATCCACCACTCCCAAGTCTCTAGAGTGCGCGTCGGGATGCAAGACTGGCGTTCAAATCACTCAGGTGTGTGTGTTCTCGGTGGAGATAGGAACACGCAGGCCTGTGCTCTCTTCCCCTTCTCTCAACTACTATACTATTTACACTTAAGGTTCCCTCAGGAACCAAATGTTAGGAACTGCCTGTACCCGAATGTTTCCCTTTCTCAACTCGAAGTGGCGATTTGGGTACGCCATTTGGTAAAACCAGAATTGGCAGAAAGTGGATACAGCGTCAGTATCCAGTAATCGTGGGAGAGTCACTTTAAGATTTAAAATGTATCCTTTGTTAGAATGTGGCGGAATTTTCAGAGTAAACATTTTCATTTCTTCTATTTAAGACTTCTTGTCTTTGAGGGAAATATATAATCTCCCTAAAGAGATTCCAACTTGGTTTTACCACTTTTAGGTCAATTCAATAAATAAATATTTTTTTGACCAGCGTTAAGACTGTTTTGAAGATGTTTTGGTGCCTATTTAAAAAACAATTTAAGTACTTACAAAAATCAAAAAAGTTCAGAAAGTTTATTTATTTATTTTTAACCTTGATAAAGGATTAATGACTCACATTAAGAGAGCATTAGAAATTTGTTGTAGTGGTATCGTTAGATAACTTTTCAACTTAATAGATATTTTCAATTTCCTTCAACATTTATGAATAGAAAGTACAATATTCTAGTTAGTGTACTAAGTAAAATTATGAAGTAGACATTTCTTTTGAAAAATTTTGCAGTTAGTTGATAAAGTATAATACTCTAATGAAAATTATTTTTGGGATTTTGGACAAAATTTGATTTATTATGCAGTTTTTAATTTCAGCATATCTTCAGAAGTAGTAACTGCTGTACCTTTTAAATAAAATGGATTACCAGTCTGAAGCATTTGTTTTGGATGTATTTGCAGTGTTTCTCTTTGTGTTGAGCATGCATTAATTTTTTAATAGAATATGCACATTATTCCAAAGCAATAATTTATGTATCTGATCAAAATGTACCCAAATCCACTTCAGTGTAAATTTGTAAAAGCTTAGCTAAAGTTTGGATAATTTTAAGGATAGAGATTATATATGGTGAATTTACAAATTACAATATATTCAAGACAAGAAATAATTATTGAAGAAAATATCTTTGCTGTAATTTTTAAAAAATGTTTTTGCCATAGGGCAGGTGTGCTTACTGGAGAGACAAAGAGTGGGAAAGTGAGAAGTCACCCCCCAAAGGAGATGCCCACATCAAAATCTATTCTCTTCTATTTTCCTCTTGAGATTTTGGGCATGCATGCACATGGGCTTGACAAGATTTGCAAGCTGTCAGGTCCGGGAATTGAACCTCTGTTGGTCATGTGGGAACCCAGAGCCTTAACCACCATGTTACCTGGTGACCCCAACTTTTATTTATTTATTATTTTTTAAATTTTTGGGGGGATTTTTTTTTTTTTTGAGAGGTTTTTGCTATAGGGCACGTGCGCTCGCCAGACAGACAGAGAGACAGAAAGCGAGAAATCACCCCCCAGGGGGATGGCCATGCCACAATCCCTTCTCCATTCTCCTCTCGGGATCTTGGGCACGCACGCACACACGCCCGGTGTGAGTTTTAAGCCACCAGGTCCGGGATGCGAACCGTGGTCGACTACGTGGGAGTCCAGCGACATAGCCATTACACTAACTGCTGGTTCCCAGACCCCAACTTTTATGTAATTTTTAATGGAGTTTGGATTTTGCTACCTTTGTTTAGGATAAAACATAACTTGAAAGAATTTAATCATTACATGGTTTAGTCTTTATTAATTGTTAATGGATGAATTATTACTATCTAATGCAAGTATGGAATTTAGTTTTTCAGGAATTGTCCAAATGGATGAAGAAACACATTACAATAAAGGTACTGATACTAAAAATTATCTTTGGGTGTAAAAGCTAGAAGATATTAATTTATTTCTAATTTTCTTTGCATTATGATTTGGTTTTAGTTGAAGATGTGGTTGGAAGTCATGTAGAAGATGCACTAACATTTTGGGCCCAGGTAAATGGCAGCCAGATTGGTTTCCTCTCTTCCCCTTCCCTCTCCTAACCCAAGTCCTGCTG